GGTGCTCACTTAATGTTTGTTAGGTGACTAAATCAATGAATGGCATGAAACACTGAAGGCCTTTTTCCAGAAACTCTTGAGTTCAGCTGGATTAGATTGTAGAGGAGGACTCACCTCTGATCAAGCCAGTGTTTCGGATGCCATAACCTTCTGCCCTGGATGTCCTCTGAGGGGAGGATTTCCTTAAATTACTCCCTGCTCCTTTCACCTATGGAATTAGAGGAAAAATTTGAGCAACGCGGCCACTCATCTGTGCCGAGGTATGTGGAACTAAGTTTGCCAAAACTGCGCTTGTAGCAAAGGTCAACCCTAATGATTTTCAGACAGAGGAGTCCTTCTAGCACAATTTTCAAATAATTTTTTGTTTCCATTTTCTAGAACCCTTACTACTCTTCTTATATCATCTTCTCTTTGTTTTAGATCTAAAATGAAATGATAACTTTGTATCTGTATCAGTCAGGATCCAGTGCTGGGTGGTGGAAAACACACTGGGCCAGAGCTGGTCCACTGGAAGCCATCAAGCCTCCCATATATTGATATGGTGGCCCCACCAAAAGCAGAATAGGTCACCAGTACCAGGAAGAGAAGCCCTTTGTCTCGGCAAGACCTTACAGTGCTCCTCCAGTGCCCTTGACTGACAAAGCCAGCTGGCAAAAGAGAAATATTTACAGGGTCCTGTTCCAATATCACAAGTAGGTCAAAGAAGACAAAAAGAGTACATACAATGTGATTCCATTTTTATATTAGAAAAAATATATGAATATATACCCAGAAATAAGACTGGAAGAACATACACCAATACAACAAAATACTAGCAGTGGTTATCTTTGGGTGGTGGATGATGAGATTATGGGTGATTATTATTTTCTTCTCTGTGCTTTACTGTATTTTTTATTTTTCCTATAATCATGTAGAATTTTTGTGATAAACAAAAAATGTTGTAGAAAAAGTGTTAGATACTTCCTCTAAAATTATGATTAAAAAGGTTATGAAAACGTTAAGGATTTGGAGTCATTTTAAAAATTACACATTTCTACTTTAGATAGCATCTGTTGAGTCCCTCATCAAAGATAAGTAAATTAGCTCAATTTATACTTTCCCCACTACCTCTCCTCTTCACAGACAATTTTTGTAATATAATTATTTTTACATTGCCATGGTTTAAAGCATTTACTCTCTGTTCTACAACCATAATTTCCAATTGTTTAACCTTAGTTCTACATATAAATCGATGCAGTGTTTACCATCTGTAATACTGTGGAATATATAGTTGGTCTTTGTCCCTATTTCCTGGCATACAACTCCTAAAATCCTTGGAATCTCCAAAGTGATATTTTTTATATGCTAATGAGTTGACTGGTGGCTAGGGAGGATCCCCAGGTAGCTTCAGGATGGGAGCTGCTCACCCTTAAGATCAAGGCAGGATCAGTGGGTTAGGACTTTCAGCCCCACCTCCCAACCTCTGGAGAGGGAAGAGGGGCTGAAGGTTAAGCTGATCACCAACGGCCAATGGTTTAATCAATTATGCATAATGTAGCCTCTATCAAAACCCAGAAAGACAGGGTTTGGAGAGCTTCTGGATAGCTGAACACATGGAGCTTCCTGGAGAGTGGCACATCAAAAGAGGGCATGGAAGCTCCACACCCCGTGCCACATTCCTTGCCCTATGCATCTCTTCATCTGTAGCCTTTGTAATATCCTTTATAGTGAACCGGTAAATGTGTTTCCCTAAATTCTGTGAGCCAGTCTGGCAAGTTAATTAAACCCAAGGAGGGGTTCATGGGAACCTCAGTTTATAGCTGGTCCGTCAGAAGCACAGGTAAAATAAACTGCGACTTGCTACTGGCATCGGAAGTGGGGGAGGCAGTCTTGGGGACTGAGCCCTCAACCTGTGGGATCTGACACTATCTCCAGGTAGACAGTGTTGAAATTGAGTCGGAGGACATCTATCTGGCATTGACTACAGAACTGATTGTTTGCTTGGCGTGTGGGGAAAAACCCACACATTTGGTCACAGAAGTCTTATGTATTAATTGTGATGTGAGAGCAGAGGAAAAAGTTTGTTTTCTCCTCAGACCATCCATTCTTTTATAATGTCCTCTCAATTTCCTGAGTGTTCATTTTAATTCACTTCTTCATTGGCTATTCTCATTGCAATACTTCTTTTCAAAAAGGACTCATGAGTGTCACAGTCCCTGAGTTTCTACATACCTGAAGATGTGTTTGCCTGTTGCTTTTAATGTGAGGAAATACTTTGCTGGGTAAAAAAAATTATCAGCTCACCCTTGTTTCTCCTCAGAACTTTAAGGCATTGCTACTGTGGTGTGGAGTGTGACTGTGGGGAAGAGTAAAGTCAACCTGAAATTCTCTCTTGCTTTTCTACTTCCTTTTCTGTCGAGATGCCCATTTGTTCATTTATTCCTGAAATTTAGTTACTTCACCAGGATATGTCTTGATTTGACTGTTAGATATCAACTTTTTATGAGCTACAGTGTACTCTTCCAGCAGATTAAAATCTTTATTTCAGCAACATTTTCTTCTGTTACATATTGTACTTTTTTTCCTGTTTGTTCTTCTCTCTCTCTCTCTCTCTCTCTCTCTCTCTCTTTTGTTTTGTTTTGAGACAGTGTCTTGCTTTGTTGCTGGGCTGGAGTGCAGGGGCATCATCATAGCTCACTGCAGCCTCAAACTCTTGGGCCCAAGTGATCCTCCTGCCTCAGCCTCCCGAGTAGCTGGACTACAGGCGTGCACCACACCCAGCTAATTTTTCTATTTTTGGCAGAGATGGCGTCTCACCATGTTGCTCAGGCTGGTCTTAAACTCCTGACCTTAAGTAATTCTCCCACGTTGGCTTCTCAAAGTGCTGGGATTACAGGCATCAGCCACCACACCCGGCCTCTTTTCTCTTTAGGAACACTAATTATATGTATTTGATTATCTTTCTGTAGCTACTGGTTTTCTCTGTAATCACATTTATATCCGTTTCATTTTGTATGATTTCTCCAGGACTAACTGTGACCTTGTAGTGGATTATTTTTGTTGTTTCTTATGTGAATTTCAGCTACATAATGCTTTTCATTTGCTCTTCCATTTCTTTCCTTAGTTCTGCCAAATTATTTCTCACTTCTTTTTATTGTTTTATAATCTATATGTTTTAAACCTTTATATCTCTTCTTTAAGCTTTTAAGAGTGATTTTGTCTATAATTTCTTTGAGATAATGGGGAACTCTTGGCTGAATGCTTCCTATTAATTCTTTTGTGTTCCTCATGGATGTGTTTCTAATCTGTCTGTTGCTCATGTTTTCTTCTTTCCTTTTAAAAAAATTATTTTCAACCATATGTCCCACAGATTTATCTTACTGACTACTGCTCAACAGTGAATGAAGCACGCTCTCTATTAAAAAGTACTATGGGAAGAGGCAGAGGAAACTGAGCCAGGGTACTTCAAAGCCTTCGTATACACTTGCTGCCACAAACACCCTCTCATCAAATATAGAGGCATATCTCCCTTCACCTTTTTGTTTCCACGAGATAAATATGACACAATAAAACCCTCTGGATCATAAGTTCTTTGTAATAAAATTTGACAGCCTTTAGTATCTTTTAAATAATAATCTATTTCTGAATTTTGAACAACATATATCAAACAAACCAAAAAAAAAAAAAAAAGCACTTTAAGGGAAAATTATGACAAAGCCAGTTTTTCCAAGTAGTTGATTTGAATGTTATTTAAATAAAATCCAGCATGGATAAGGAGGTTTGTGCCAGGGACAGATTACTTAATGATAACTCTTGGGCTTCAAGGGTAAAGATTAATAATAATACTAATAATAATAGCAGATGACACTTATATAGTGCTTTCTATATGCCAAGCATTGGTCTAAATGTTTTACATATATTTATATATATTTTATTCTCATAACAACTCTTTGAGTCAAGTACTATTATTATCTCTATTTTATAGATGAAGAAACCGAGGCACTGAGAACTCCAGTGACTTGACTGAGGTCACATAGTCCTTAAATGGTGAAGCCAGGATTCAAACCCAGGCCTGTAGTCCATGCTGTTACTCACTATGCTGTGTGGCCACTCATTCATTGTGAGAAAATTACTGACTAAAGAGTGCCTACTAGCAGGACTGAAGTGAGATGACTTTTCCAAGGAGTTCAGAAATGTGTTTTTATGATTGGGCAAGGTCAGGGATTTGGCAATATGGATACCTAAAAGCAATAATCTCATCTGTCTTCCAATTGCAGAAGAGGATATAAAATTATCATATAAAAGGAGGCAATTCCACCAGAATACCAGAAAGGAAGGAAAAATTGATTTCTATTGAAATGACAGCCAGACATTTTCATTCTGAGGCATAGTTTCAGATTTGCTTAACTATCATGGTTTATTGGGAGGAATAGATGCCAGTTATTAATTTATTACCTCTCAACTCCAAATTGCTTATGTTACTTCAGCTGGACCCTGTAAACATTTCTCCTTTGCCAGCTGGCATAAGATTTAGACTTTTTCAATAGAGGATACTGGAGGGACAATGCACGGCCATAGGAAGAGAAAAGAACTTCTCTTCCTAGTACCAGTATGCTGGTCTATTTTTATTTTGGTTATTTATTTATTGGAACAACTGCTAGCAGATCAACTTGTGGGAAGCCTTCACCATAGTGGGCTGCTTCCTGTGAACCAGTTCTGGCCAAGCCACAACATCCAGCAAGTTCCTCCCCTATCCAACAGGCTACTTCCTATGAACCAGCTCCAGACTGCCCACCTCCTCCAGTGAATTAATCCACCACCCTTCATGCCTAGCAAGTTTCTTCCCCATCAACAAGGGTGTGTGGTAGCACAGGTTCCTGTGGTAGCCACAGTCTCTCTAATAAGGTATGAATCTCAGCTCTGGTGGGGAAGTGTTCTCTTCTAAGTTCTTTGTTCCTCCCTCCTAGACTTCCCAGTATCGTGAAGAGGTAATATTTGTATTTTAGGAATTATTGAGTGATCTACTTATCATTTCAGATTCTGAGACCAGGAATAAGATGAAGGAATGGAAGTCAAAGATGGAAATTTCTGAAGAAAAAGATTCAGCAAGGGCAGCAGCAGAAAGACTCCAAAGACAGATCTCCCAGGAATGTGAGTTAGTTGAAACCAGGGATCTTGAGGACAAGTTATTGAGGCATTGGGTAAGCCCCTTAGAGGATGCAGTGAGCCATCTCCCTTCCCAACAGAGAGGTATCAGTGAAATTAATCTCATTCCCAAGAAAGCCACTACAGGAAAGAGAGGCCATGGATATAATGAAAAAGAAAAAATACTTCCTGCAGGAGAAAGATCCCATAGATATGCGGTCTGTGGACAAAGCTTCAAACAGAAGTCAGGATTAAATGAACATCAGAAAGTGCATAATATAAATAAGACCTATGAATGTAAGGAATGTGGAAAAACCTTCAGTCGGAGCTCAAACCTGATCATACATCAGAGAATTCATACAGGAAAGAAACCATACATATGTAATGAATGTGGGAAAAATTTTAATCAAAGTTCAAATCTTATTATACACCAGAGAATTCATACAGGAAAGAAACCTTATACATGTCAGGAATGTGGAAAAGACTTCAATCAAAGTTCTAACCTGGTTAGACATAAGAGAATTCACAGCGGCGAGAATCCCTATGAATGTAAAGAGTGTGGGAAGGCCTTTAAGGGAAGCTCAAACCTTGCCCTACACCAGAGAATCCACAGTGGAGGGAAGCCCTATGTATGCAATGAATGTGGGAAGGCCTTCAATCAAAGCTCAGATCTTATTATACATCACAGAATTCACACTGGAGAGAAACCCTATGAATGTTATGACTGTGGACAAACATTCAGTCAAAGTTCGCGCCTTGTCACACATCAGAGAATTCATACTGGAGAGAAACCGTTCAAGTGTAATGAATGTGAAAAAGCCTTCAGGCAGCGTTCTCGCCTTACCGAGCACCAGAGACTTCACAGTGGAGAGAAACCATATGAATGTCACGAATGTTGGAAATCCTTCAGTGGGCGCACAGCTTTTCTTAAACATCAGAGACTACGTACTGGAAAGGAACTTGAATGTGAAAAAGCTTGCACTTCTGACTTGGAACTTATCAAACAACAGAAAATTCCTAGGGAAGAAAAACTTTATGAATGTACTGAGTGTGGAAAAACTTTCCGGGGAAGTTCAGATCTCGTTCGGCATTGGATGATTCATACTGGAGAGAAACCCTACGAATGTAATGCATGTGGGAAAGCCTTTAGCCAGAGGTCGCACCTTGTTACACACCAGAAAATTCATACTGGAGAGAAGCCTTATCAGTGCAATGAATGTGGGAAAGCCTTCAGGCAGCGTTCCCTCCTTACTCAACATCAGAGAATCCACAGTGGTGAAAAGCCCTACGAATGTAAAAAATGTGGAAAAGCCTTCATTTGGCGCACAGCTTTTCTCAAACATCAGAGACTTCATACTGGAGAGAAATTGGAAGAATGTGAGAAAATCTTCGGCAAGAATGAGGAGCTTAGGGAAGAGCAGAAAATCTATCAGGAAGAGAACACTTTTAGGTGTAATCAGTGTGGTAAAATGTTCCAAGGCAGCTCAGACCTCATTAGACATCAGGTAACTCATACAGTAGAGAAACCATATGAATGTAAAGAATGTGGGAAAACTTTCAATCAGAGCTCAGACCTTATGAGACATCATAGAACTCACAGTGGAGAAAAACCTTATGTATGCAATAAATGTGGGAAATCTTTTAGGAGCAGCTCAGATCTTATTAAACATCATCGTGTTCACACTGGAGCAAAACCCTATAAATGCCCTGAATGTGGGAAGGCCTTCAGTCAGAACTCACACCTTATTAGTCATCAGAGAATTCACACCAGAGAGAAACCCTTTGAATGTAGCAACTGTGAGAAGTCCTTCAGTGGACGCACAGCTTTTCTTAAACACCAGAAACTTCACACTGGAAAGGAATTTGAGGAATGTGAGAAAGTCTTCAAACAAGACTTATTCTAATAGGTATCAGAAACCTAATGAATGCAGTAAAAGTAGGAAAACACCTGATGGAGACCACATCTTATTGCACTACAGAAAATTTTTACTGTTGGATAAACTATTTAAAGGTAGGAAAACATAGAAAAATCCTACTGGATAAAAAACATATAAATGTAAGGAAGTGGAAAAGCAAAAAGCCCTTGGACATAGTCACCTTTTTTTTCTGCCTCAGAGCTGATAGTGGAGTATGGCCCAAGGATATAATTACTTGAGAAGGTTTTCAGGGATTTCTATCATTATTAAAAACATTAGAAATCACTGTGGCAACAACCCCAAAACTAAATTCTTCATGGAAGGAGTCATTTCAATCTTGACTTCCTAGTCCAGTAACAAGTATAAATCTGCTTTAAATACTATAGGGTTATTAAAATCTTTCTCTGGGATGAATTCTTTCCCTTAAGTATATATTTTATACATAGTCCCCTTTCTTCTTCCTTACAAAAATATGTTCATACATCCATGATAATGCAAATTACAATGATCCACGAATTGAGAAGAAACAAATAATAAAAATGACTATAGGATAGCTGAAAGCAAGGATACAAGAGCCAAGTGAGGTGTTCCCCAGAGAAAGAGTGGTGACCACAAGTAGTATCAGGAAATGGAAGATCAAGAGATAAGAGAACAGGAGGTATTCAGAACAGAATTAGACTGAGTGCCACAGCAAGCATTTAGTTGACATGAGTCAGGAATTAGAAGAAAGCCTCTCCTCAGCTGATTAGAGAGAATGGTTTTACCTTGAACCAGGACAGTTTATTGCAGAATTAGAGAGTCTGAATAGAACTCTGGAGAGAAGCCAATCATAATTTAATCTGGTAACTAACATTGGTAATTAAGCCCTGCCAAGCCTATCTGTACAATCAGATACAGTCATCAAATATATACTCTGAACTAATGGCAGATTACATATTAATTTACATGAGTAATAAGATAAGAAAGTTACCAAATGGGACAATGTAAGACAAGCAGAATTTCAAACTCATATCTTTCCTCAGTGAGAGTACTTGTAAGATGCACAGAGAGGTTAAGTGGTTCTCAACTGGAGTGATTTTTCCCCCCAGGGGACATTTGGCAATGTCTGGAGCTATTTTGGTTTTCACAACTTGGAGGAGACTACTGGCCTCTAATGACCAAGGATGTTGCTGAATATCTTATCATTCACAGCCCTCTACAACAAAGAATTATCTGGCTCATGTGTCAATAGTGCCACAGCTCAGAAACCTTGCTGATAGATATTCAGAATGCCAGGGGGCCATTTAAGCAAGCATTTCAGTGTGATGTGGGCAGTGACAGCACATCCCAAGGGGAATCCAGAGTCTGACAGAAACTGTTAGTTTGATGACCTGCTTCAAGAGAGGCAATCTGGTGTGATGCAGGGAGCACAGACTTTAGAAACAATCAGTCATGGGTTTGAGTCCATGTTACAAGTGCCATATGTATTGGACCTGGAGCAAACCACTTACCCGCTCTAATCCTTATTTTCCTCATTGATAAAGTGGTGATAAAATAATCTACCTCATAGGGTAATTGTGAGGTTTAAATGAGAAAACCAGAATTTACTGTTGACACATCAAAGGGCAGCTAGAGCTTTAACTGTTTTTAAACAAAAGAGGAAGTATTTACAAGCAAAATATAAGATGTATAACATAGAGTGGTGTCTTGTGGCTGGCGTGAAGAATAGAACCTAGTTCTAAGCACTGGGGGCTACCAGGGGTTCTGGCTTCTCCAGAGTGGCATCAGAACAGTAGTGGGATATCTTAAAGTGGGAAAAGCCCATTCACACCATTCCTGAATGCTGACTGCTTGTGAATGATATGGTGTAGGGCCTCCAGAAGCCTGCCCACCCCCATCACCTAACTCAAAGGTTTAGCTCTTTAGTAATCTCACATAAACTCATAATCTTTTTAAGTGAGAAGATCTTTACATATATTTGGGGAGCAAAAGGAATTCAAAATAGTTATCAGTGGTAACACTTGGCTCAGAAATAAAAGATACTTAACATTTCTGAGTTATCCCAGATTCTAACTAAGCAAAACCTTTGGCTAGCTAGAACATTTTAGCATTCCAATTTTATGAAAGAAAGGAATTGGGAATTTATTCCAAAAAGCCTATCTCTAATTCCTTTACCTGTCTTTACAGTGCTGTACAGTGAGAGTTGTTGTTTATAAGGATAAGCAGGGTATTTGGAGGGACTTGAAGGTAATTTAATGAAGTGGTCTCCAACTTATTAAACACCAGGGCCCTCTTTTTTACTCCTCTGTGTTTCGTAATTTTAAATAATCATGTTTACCAAACTGCATCTATTAAAAAGAATAATTAGCTCCTTATTTTTTTGCTGTTCAGATGCATGTATTGGCATGACATAACCAGACTTAGGTACTAACATTCCAGCCAAAAGCAAACAACATTTTCATTAATCTTATTATCCCTTTTGTGGTAAAATATATAATTTGCCTTGGGCTTTTTGAAATATTAACTATTACTTGAAGATCTCAGATTGAAAACTATTTCATTCCTGATGGAGCTTGAATCAAACAGAGAGTACTGGATTTTTGAAAGCAGAGGGAAATTTTTGTTACAGTATGGAAATGTTTTCAACTGTGAATGTTGAAATAAAAGTTATTCAAGAAATACTTATTGACTGCTTAATATGTGCCAGGGGCCATAGTTACATGTGGCTAAAGAAAGACAGTCATTGTTCTTGGAGGAATTTACAGTCCAGTGGGGGATAAGGAAGCCCTGCCTGAAAGAGTTAATATTCAGATAAGCAGACAATTCATGAAATGAAAGCTTTGTTGGGTAGCAGAAGTTAAAATACAGTGTCCAATTTGTAAACATGAATTCTGCAGAATAGGATCTACCTGTTAGGAAGCAACCTACTTTAGGACTTTGAGAAAAGAGCCTGAAGGTATGATAAGTCTGCCTTTATGAGACTTTAAGTAGCTAAAGAACCAAACTCTAGGAGAGCCAACACTGAGAGAAAATCAGAGTCTGATAATCTCTTTGAGGAATAGGGGTGATTGGAATGTGGGTTAGGAAAGGTTTCTTCATATAAACATTTCATGGGATACAAGACTGTCACTACCAACCTTGGGGAGAGAGCGTGTGAGTATAGTAGAAGAAGTGAATGTTATCCAATAATCTGCCAATTTAGTCCACTTTTCTTGATTTTTGATGCCCTTAGAGTGAGGCCACCATCATCCCTTGCTTGTACTATTACCACAGCCTCCTAACATGCCTCCCTGCTTCCAACCCTCCTCTTACAGGGTAGCCTGAATGATCGTTAGAACAAATCTGACAGTGCCACCCCCTCTCTAAACTTCCACAATGGTCTCCCAATAACTTCAGCCTGAAGTCAAAAGTCCTTAATGTGACATATGTATTCTGATCTGGCCCCATTTATCCACTTATTCCATAAATATTTATTGAGATTTTAATATGTGTCAGTCACTGAGTGCTACAAAGTGGAGTGAGCATAGACAACAGTCTCTGCCCTACTGGAACTTACACTAGTAGAGGAGAGACTAATTATTAATAGAATCATTAATGAAATTACAATGGTAAGTGCCAGAAAGGAGAGGAATATGATACTACAGTAGGGAGTCTGAGCTAGCTGGGGAGGGCTTTCTAAAAAGTGCGTACTTTTCCTTCCTAATGTATACAATATTTACCGCTGAACTCTCTGCAGTTCTCCCAGGACCTAGGCACCGCCCTCTTGCCCTATGGCCTTTCCACGCGCTGTTCCCTGTCAGGAATGCTCCCTCCTTACCTAGCTCCATTATTGTGTAGTACTTCCTATGTGTTGGATCCAGTGATAAGCACTTAACACCCATTTTCTCTTGTATTCTTTACTTCAGTCTTAACTGGTAGATGCTACTGTTAACACCGTTCTATAAACAGGAAACTAAGGTCTACAAAGGCAAAGTAATTTGCCCAAAGACCCGCAACGAGTAAGTGAGGAAACTAATTCAAATCCAGGCCTGCCCACCTCCAAAGCAGTCTTAGCACTACAGTCTGGCATCTCCCAATTCTGTCAGGTTCAGGCCTCACGTATCTGGTCACCTTTCCTGACATACACCGAGTCGGGGCCTGGAGCTCCCACGGGCCACAGCCATCAAAGCACGAGAACTGTAACGTACCTTTAGCTCACCCCGACTAGACTCACCTATTCCTGGACAGGGACTGGTCTTTCCCATCTTGGCCGGCTCAGTGACTCCGGGTAGAAACCCGAGCCTCAGACACCAGCCTAGACGGCAGCTCACGTAGGCCGGAAGTGCCCCCCTTCCCCGCTTGTCTAGGAAGAGAGGAGGACTCCACTCGGTAGCTATTCCTAACTGTAGCCCGTGGACGTAGGAAGGGGCGGGAAGTGCTCGCGGTGTGCATCTCCCCGGGCCTCCTGCGGGTCCTCGTGACTAGTTGGGGTAGGGGCACAATGGGTGCGGCCGCTTAGGTAGCGCTGAGTGAGGGGGAGACTGAGGACAAGCACCCACACTGGCCGTGCGTGCGGAGCTCGGTGCCCGCGTCCATGGGTCTGGCCAAGCCACTAGGTGCCTCGTCTGGCCTGGTCCCCGTGCCTTGCGCCGTCCTGGCCCTGCTTCTTTGAGGCCCTTGGGCGCCGCGCCACCCTGCAAGAGGCAGATGGCTCTCGCTAGCCTGGCCCTTCGACAACTGGTATTTCAGTGCGCGGGATGCTCTGGCACTGTCCCCAGGAGGCTGGACTGCCAATCCACGCACAAGGTTGAAAGGGTGGCTTTGCAAAAATAACAGGAAAATATCTAATCCCACGGAGATTTCCCCAATAACAGCTAAAGATCAACCCTATGAACCCTCTCGCTAACAGGCACCTGGTGGGGAGCTCTGTTTCTCAGGTCTGTTTTTCACAACATCAGAAAAGAGCTGAACAGACAGAAAGGAAATATAAACCTTTTTCTTTTAAAACTGCTTTGAGAGGCTGCTTGTTA